CCCCAAAACCCCAAAACCCCAAAACCCCGTGAGAGCTAATTGGAATATTATTGGTAATTAAAACAAATAAAAAAATAGAATTTAATCTTAAAAATGATAAAATTAGTCTAAACTAACTAATCTATTTCTAATAACAAACTTCCTGATAATGACAATAAAGCTTCGAAATAGAATAAATTTTCACGCTTTGACCCTGATAAAATTTCAGATGACGAGGATAATTCTTGGGCTGAGGATCTGTCACAGTCAGGAGGCTCTGATGGAGGAGGAGGTCGAGGAGGTGAAGAGGACTATTATGGAGAAGAAGAAGAATACGGAGAAGAGTCAATAGACAAAGGCCATAAAATAGAGGCACTTGAGGAAACTCCGACTGCCCATAATTAGGATGAAAGTTATGTAATTCGTAAAAAAAATAATAAGAGAGTGACTATCAATGTTTATTGCACAGAATATGAAATTGTTAAGAAAGTTTCAAGGAAAGTGAATAATTTCAAATTGAAAGAATTAGAAGAAGATCATGAAGGAGCTGTTATCAAAGGATAAGGAGGTTAGAAACTTAGCCATGCCTGGGATATATCTTGGCATGATTTGGCTATCACTCCGGATTATATGTCGAAGATGCAGTCTTATCAAAAAGTGAATCATTTCCCAGGTATGTATGTGGTCTGTCGAAAGAATTTTCTCGCGAGAAATTTAATGAAAATGCAAAGATAATTCCCAGATGAGTATAGCTTCTTTCCTAAGACATGGCTATTACCTTCAGAATAAATAGAATTCAGAAATTAATTTACGACTGTTAGTCTTAATGGGAAGTCTAATCCTAAATAAGGTAAAAAGAAAACTTATATTGTTAAGCCAGAAGCATTGTCTTAAGGTAAAGGAATATTTCTGAGTAGAAGTATGGAGGAAATCATGGATTCCTGCTAGAATGAGGGTTGTGTAGTTCAGCGTTACATTCATCAACCTTATCTAATTGATGATTTAAAATTTGATCTAAGAATATATGTGATGTTATATGGAGTGAATCCTTTAAGAATATACTTTCATGAGTAAGGCTTAGCAAGATTTGCTACTGAAGAGTATCAGTGCCCAGTCAACTCAAATCTTGATAATCTTTATATGCATTTGACAAACTATGCTATTAATAAAAATAATGACAAATTTCAATAAAATGAAGATGAAGATGAGGATGATTAAGGACACAAAAGATCTCTGAATGCTATATTATGTTTACTAAAGCAAGAAGGACATGATCCAGAAAGACTTTTGCGTGAAATAAAAGATATTATAGTGAAGACTTTGGTGATTGGTCAACCATATCTTTCGCATTTATATAAATCTTGCTAGCCAGAAGATCTTGATAATTCCATGTGTTTCTAAATTTTGGGCTTTGATGTAATATTAGATCATAAATGCAAACCATGGTTACTTGAAGTAAACCAGAGTCCTAGTTTCTCTACTGATTCCCCATTAGATTATAAAATTAAGAAGTAAGTTATTGGAGATGCATTTAATTTGCTAAATTGTTCACATGAAAGAAGATAAGAGCATATAAGACTCAAAAAAGAAGAAATGGAGAAACGCATTATGACAGGGAAAATAAATAAAATCAATTAAGAGGAAAAAGAAAAAATTAGATAGGAAAAATTGAAAGAGCGATTTGAATATGAAGAAGATAGAATGGGAGGATACGAACTTATTTTCCCGTGTGAGGATGAAACCTAAAATAAACTCTATGAATCCTATATTTAAAAAGCAAATGATCTATGGGATGATTTCACAACAGGTGGAAAAAGCAAAAAAGCCAAGGAATAGCTGAATGAAAAAAAAAATTCTATTGTTTAATGAAACGTCAATAAGCTTTAATCCCAAAGCACTCTTGGCTAAAAGAAGCCAAATACAATTGTGTAGAAATTAAATACTTTAAAAGATATGAACAATAAAAACTTGATAGATTAAAGCAGCAAGACTTCTGCGAGAGAAATGTCAAAAAATGTGACATTTTCAACGAAGTAATCCGATCAGATTAGTAACTCCAATAAAAACTAATAAAGCACCCAAGGATAAAGCACAATAACAGTTGATGATAGGCCAAGTAATAATAATCATGATATTATGATCGAAAGTATAAATGCAGATGGCCCATTAAGCATCAATAAAAGTGATAATCAATTCATTAATCCAAAGTTAAGAATGAGTACTGATGGTAATTTAAATGGTTAAATTTAAAATCCTTATCTAGTTTATTCTAAAAATATCGCTATGAATAAGTCAGGAGATAAATAGTAGTCTGGTAGTCATGACTTTGCCAATATTTAGCATCGAAATAATTATGATCAAGCAAGCGCATATTAGGAGATTAGCTAAGTAAATACTAGCAATGATGGAAATAGATTTTCCAATCAGCCTCATAGTAAAGCAAACAGTTTAGTCTTATAAACTTAGCAGTAACTATTGTAGAAAGCATAAAATTAAAAAGGTTAGCATTATAATTCTGAGTAGGTAAGCAAAGCATATGATACAAGCTATGCAGCAAAAAATCTAGATATGACATCTGCATCAATCTAAAGACACTCTAATGGAAATAGGACTTTTATAAATACTCTAATTCATAATTAGAATAAAGACAACCTATAAGTTGTTCATCTTGTAAATAACCAAATAAGTCATACTTCAATTGATATGCAGAGAAAGACTCCTGGTCTCAATTTAAATACTGAGCTTGTAAGCAATTAGATAGTTGGACATACTCAAGATGCAGTAAAAAGTAACAAGAGGAAAATTTCTAATGGATTATTTCAAGAGCAACTTACTCCTCTACCCATTATTTAGCCTCAAAACTAAAATCAAATGATGCTATAATAGTATTATTAACAATAATAAATCTAAGCTTAAATGCATTAGCAATAGTAGCAATAATAACATTAACAATAATAGCAATAGGCTCAATAAATGAATTAGACATCAAGTTCTAAGAATGGGAATCAAAGTCTAATGTAATATGCACTTTAAAGAAATCACCAGCAAAAAAGTGGAGCGTTGATCCAGATATCATCAATGCCAATATACCTTGGAAATCAAAATCTGTTTATGTAAAGCTAGAAAATCCCTGATTCTCCGTTAAGAAGAATCCCCCTTCCTGATTTGAATTAGCAGCAATTGCAAACTAATAGACCAAGTATCACTAATGGAGGTTAGTATTAGTTCTAGTAGTAATAAGCATCCAAGTAACTGCCCTAACGTCCAATTTAAAATACATTTAATGGAAATCCAACTACTTAGCATAACAAGAAATCCTCGTCATCTGCATTGAGCCATTCTCCGTCAGTTAGACCAGTTAAAACTATCATAAATACTAATAATAATATGGTCATGAATTCTGGGAAGGTCTAGTAGGCAAGTTTTAATGGCAAAGTAGTGTAGGGTAGCTCTTTCAAGTTATCTTAGAACTCAAAAGTACAATAGAATTAGCAATTTCATATCAGTCTAAAATAGAATTAGATTACTAATGGCTTTTCATAAGGAAAGTAAGAATTTATTAACTTCCAATATCTTATAGAACTTTAATGCCAAAATTATTTGACTTCTGTATGATTGAGGACATGTGCATTAAGAAGCAGTAGTAAAACTAGCGAGAGATTGAGGAAGCTCTGTAGTAGCTGGAAAGGCAAAAATAACAAAAATAATCTGTTATGAGTGTACTTAACAAACGTTAATGACATGGAGAATTCGATATTATCTATAATTCAATAGTGACCATGTATGATTTATACCCCCATATATCTTTAAGATTCTTGAATATAAGCAAATAATCGATAATTTATCTTAATCAACTACATTTAGTATATATTCTTTGCATGGGGTTTTGGGGTTTTGGGGTTTTGGGG